AGACACAAGGTTTATACTGGTTCAGGCAATAGATGCCCTACGTCCAGTCTGAGAGAGCGATCTTGTATTCCTTGCACCGATGTGCTCGTAGTAGGGGTTTACAAGCAGGGCGAGAGAGGGTGCTATCCCAGGTCTCTGTGTGGAACGGCGTGGGCTGCTTGAGACATTGCTCTTAGGCAGTGGGGGGAGCGTGTGTTACAGAGTGTTGCTTGCGCGTGTGTGAGAGCGTGGTTTTTCGTGTGTTCTCTCGCTGTGCCTAGAAGCGGCCCCGATCACTCCCTTTTATAGTCGAAGGAAGGCACGGGGATGGTACATGGATTGCTACGTGGCGTTTTGTGAGCGGAGGCGGCGTGTCGAGCCCTGTAGCTTGTCACTGTGGCGACATGGTCGATGAAGTGGTCTTGTCCTTGGTGCACTGGAGCGGCGTGCCGGTCACGACTGGTCCTGTGCAACGTGGGAGCTCCTGTGGTGGCAGGCGCGTCTTCCTCTGCCGGAGGCGTGCTGGTTGCTGCATGTTTTGACCGCCGCGGAGTGCCGAGGCCAGGCTGACGCGATGGTGCGGGCATGCTGACTCCGAGGATACAGGAGCTCGGCCCTGCACGTGACGTGGGTGCAGCTTGGCGCAGGGTACGGTGCGTACTGCAGACGACGTGCCGGTCGCTGTGTGTCGACAGCATAAAGAGCCGAGGCCGAGCCATCGCGGGGGTCTCGGCGGGTGCGAATCCCGAGGCTACCAAGACCCTAAAGTGGATTGCCGAGGCTCGGAGGGAGCAGTTGGTCCTGTACACTGATTTAGAGGCTACAGGGACCCGGACCTGACTCTCCACGCCACGCTGTTCCTCGGAGTAGGAGTTAGGTAGCACAACGCAGTACGGGCGTCAGTCATGGGCACAGTGCCGAGCACAGCGATCGGTAACCCCTGCCCATTCCTGTCCCTGACTGCATGACGTCGATATGACTCCCGTCCCGTCGGCCACTCCGCTGTACTGTGCCGACGCGCGGCTGACGTTGCGGGAGTGGTTGGACGCGTTAATTGGACGTGACGTTTTGTCAGAGAAGCTGGTCGAGGCAGCGGTGACGGGGTCGTTGCCGAGCCGGCCTCGAGCGAGGCGGAGAATCGGTACTTCGTCCGAGGCCTTACGGCGCGGGGCCTCGGGCGAGGGGGCCTCGGCGAGGCGGAGAGTCGGCACCTCATCAGAGGCTGTGCGGCGCGGGCCTCGGGCGAATCGGAGAATCGGCCGAGGCCTCGTCGTTGTTTCTTGGCTTTGATATTTACAAGGGCTAAGCAATTTTTTCGGTTCTCGCTTAGGGTACCCCTTTTTCTGGTATCCGACAGCACGGTTGCTGGAGAAGACAGCTTCCTTGCCCCAAATTGTTGAGCGACTTGAGAAGAAGGAACAAATTATAGCTGAGCTTAAGGAGGAAGCGCAGAAGATTATGGAGGAGAAAGAACGTGAAGCTAAAGAGCTCTCAACGCTGAAAGCATCTGACTGCAGCATTGAGGAAGCATGTGGTGGTGCTGAACTGCAGTTTCAGAGTGTCTTGGCTGAGTTAGGTCACAGGAGTCTAACTTAATGTGTGACCATAGAAATCGTTTTCACATGTGTACCCTGATATGGTTTCCTGTCAACTAACGTGTGAGCTAGCGCTCTAGGGCTTAAGGTTTTCTTGCTTGTGTCCTTGTGGTTTTGGATGAACTTTATCCTAGTGTCGTATTCTCCCTTTTTATGTGTCTGCAAGGTGCCCATGATAGCAGACTTATGGAGCTTGGAACTGGAGCTTGATGAATTCAGTCTACTCTGAAAAAAATGCAAAAATAACACTCGAAAGATTGACTCCTTGATTACGATGACACTCGGATGGATGACAAGTGGGTCCATCTGTGTCTATAAATGTGGGTCCAGTATCAAATCTGCAACAACCGATGTTTCGAGTCCCATTTTTGCAACGCGGGTCTCTATGAACCAATTTGGTTTCATGCCCGGAAGGTCAATCATGGAAGCTATTTTTTTAATAAGACAAGTTATGTGGTAGGACCTACACATGGTTTTTATTGACTTGAAGAAGGCTTATGATAAAATACCAAAGAATGTTATGTGGTAGACTTTGGACAAACATAAAGTCCCAACGAAGTATGTCGGGCTCATTAAGGGCATGTACAACAATGTTGTGACTAGAGTTCGAACAAATGATGGAGACACGGATGACTTTCTGATTAGGATAGGACTACATCAAATGTCAGTTTTGAGCCCTTACTTGTTTGTCTTAGTGATGGATGAGGTCACAAGGGACATACAAGGGGACATCTCTTGGTATATGCTTTTCGCGGACGATGTAGTGCTAGTTGATGAAAGTCGGACAGGAGTGAATCAGAAACTGGAGTTATGGCGGGAGACTTTGGATCCAAAGGTTTTAGACTCAGTAGAACTAAAACTGAGTATATGAGATGTGACTTCGGCACTACTACTCGGGAGGAGGAAGATATTAGTTTGGAAGGTCAAGTAGTGCCTAGGAAGGACACCTTTCGATATTTAGGATCAATGCTACAGAGAGACGGAGATATTGATGAAGATGTTAGCCATAGGATCAAAGCAGGGTGGATGAAGTGGCGGCAAGCATCTGGTGTCCTATGTGACAAAAGGGTACCACAGAAGATAAAATGCAAGTTTTATAGGACGACGATTAGACATGCTATGTTGTATGGTGCAGAATGTTGGCCTACGAAAAGACGACATGTTCAACAGATAAGTGTCGCGGAAATGCGTATGTTGCGTTGGATTTGCGGTCATACAAGAAGGGATCGAGTTCGGAACGATGATATACGTGATAGATTAGGGATAGCACCAATTGAAGAAAAGCTTGTCCAACACCGGTTGAGATGGTTTGGACATGTCCAACAGAGACCTCCAGAGACACCGGTGCGTAGTGGAATCCTAAGCCAGGATAGTAACGTGAAGAGAGGCAGAGGAAGACCGAAGTTGACTTGGGTAGAGGCAATAAAAGGAGACTTGAAAGGATGGAATATATCCAATGACTTAGCTTTAGATATGAGTGTTTGGAAGACAGCTATTCACGTGCCTGAACCTTGATTGCTTCTGCTGAGTTTCAACTCTAGCCTACCCTAACTTATTTGGGACTTAAAGGCTTTGTTGTTGTTGCCCGTCTACTTAGAATGCTTGTATCGTCGTTATTAATGGCTCATCTCATGTGCTAATTTTGTGCGTAACCTGTTTCCATGCTTAGACATCCAGAATTTCTTGGGTGGTTGATTTCTGTGCTGATGTTTGGTGCGTCTGATTGTGGTCAGTATCTCTAATTTTAATTTGGCAGGACGGTGTTGGTGTTGACTAGCATGTCTAAGGAAACTGGATATTATAGGGACACTCGGCAAGAAGTATTTACAACATGTATCAAAACTCCTACATCATAATATTCATTGGGCACGTTGATGAACTTCATAAGGTGCGATGCGTTTGCTCCAATGGTTAAAACTTGCTTTTGTGTTAGCCTACTTGTAAGCTGGGTTGTCTGCTTGAGAGAAATCTTGTCTTTATCCACAGCCACATCTTTACGAATTCTGAGATTTAGCGCTCTCTAATACCATCAGCAGGATTGACTGATATGGTATAATGGAATCAAGTGGCGTCATTGTTTAGTTCATGTATGACAGTATAAGTGAGGTATGTGATTCTTCTCGCTTATGTTTGATTTTGTCCCAGCAATGTGAGGTGCAGGGATCAACCAAAAACTGAGCTGCTGATGGCCACCAGTGTTGGCGATCATCATGTTAATATTCAATATAATGGAATGTAATCCATGTGTATAGATAGATGGATGCTAGGACATTAATTCCATATGAGGATATTTTCTCCCGGTCTGTTTTTTTTCCAGGGCTGTTTCTCAGATGGCAATAGGTGTCAGGTTTTCCAGCTGCTTTCACATGTTGAATGGCTTCAGTATGATTAGTCTTCCTGTTTGCCTATACTCCTTCCTGATTACTAGTGTACTCGTAGTAATGTCTCGGCACTAAAACTGAAGTTTCATTTCTACTAGACGCCGATGAAGCTGCCAGATACTTCTTCACCGAACCTGAACCCTGCTCGAACTGTTCTCCAGATTAAGGATCCTGCAAACCTCCCCGCAATTGCAGCCTTGCAGAAGGGAACAAATTTGTGTATATATTGTGCACTGACTCTACTAACTGAACATTATCAGGAGTCGCAGCATTATAAGTAGTCCTTAATCATTTGCCCAGCACACTGCTGCGTAAAGGAGGAGAGTTCAATGGCTCTGAGTTTTCCTGACCAAGAACATAAGCTCCTATATATGTCCCTTTTATTGAAAGAAAACACAAAAGTCTTCTCGTCAACATTCAGAAACACATTTTACCAGATACATTCATATATGTCCCTTTTCCTGGAAGAGCCATGTGTTAGGTCGCTGATGAGTATTTATCATTCAATTGTGCATATGACTGAAACACATTCAGAACAACTCCATATGTCTCGAAAGGAGAACTCATAGCCTTTACCCAGCTGTTGCACAACTAGATCTTGTAACACAAAAGCCAAAAGGGATTCCAACAATAATTTGCATTCCTAATCCACTCTAACCAAGTAAGACTTTACTACATTTACTTCATATTTTCATTAGAGGAGTATATACGCAGTAACAATTTAGCATAATGCCAGTTGCCAAAGTACCCTCCAGAACAACTCAACATAACCAGATACTATATATTTGGATCTACACGTACTATGTCTAGATGTAAAAATAATGTATTTATCTAGAAAATTCAAAACTTCTTTTTATAGTTTGGAACGGATGGAGTAGTTCAGACTAAAACCATACAATGCATCCCATGTTCTCGACCAAACTGTCAACCGAGCTTACAATTTTAAATCAAACCTTAATAGAGCAAATGAAGTAAATAAACCTAAACAAATGTTGAGACCTCCCCGCACACTCACATACATCAAGCAGCAGCGTTGCTAATACTTCTAGTACCAAACGTCATCACCAAACGATTCGAATTCGGCGAACATGCGGTTTAGTTCCTCGCTGTTGCACCACCAGTGACGATCTTCCGGTGCTTCCTCGATTGCCGCCACTGCATCTGCATTGGGGGCAACCACCGGATGGACTTGTTCGTCCTCGGCTGCGGCGGCCACGTCTTCGCCTGGAACGCCACCGTCATGTTCAGGCGGCTGCATCGTCATCTCCGGCCCTCCTGCTACCTGACGGACATGGCCAGTAGTGGGTGCGGCGGCAACCGAGGCAGCGGCACCCTGCTTGTGCGTGCTGCCGTCGCCGCCTGCAGGGAAGTTGACAGGCTGATCACTGCCATCACCACCAGCCGGAGCATCAGTAGCAGAAACGACGCCGACGCCGACGCCCGCTGTCGCTGCGCTGCTCTTTCTCCACCACCAGCTCGGCTGCCGCGATCACCTCGCCGCGACTGCCGTCAGCTGGCGCGGACGCAGACACAGGAGCGCCTGCAGGGAGGTTGGCACGTTGAATTAGAACTTAGACTAAAAGAATTTTAATTTAGCCTAAATATGATCACTAACTCATCTAAATGCGGAAATTAATCTTAGATACCAATCAGAGCCTGTGGACGCCATCTGTGTCGCTGGAGATGTGATGAAGTTGATGTAGATGAAGTAGATTTTAGTCTTCACCAGATCGGGGCTTAATGCTCCTAGTTGGTGAAGAACGCGATGAAGATCTTGTAATAACTAGATGGACGTGGGTAGACGGCCTTCCTAAACCCTCCAGCGCCTAATCGATCGGTTATATGAATAGTCACGGAGACTAGAGAGATAGTGACGCCAAGGACGCCTCTCTTATTTATAATCTCGATGTGGGCTAGGGGGCCGAACCCTTAGAATTCTAATGGTTACCGCCGATCACGGTAGTTCTTATTTAGTTGAAAATAAATAATGAGTAGGTGAATTAAAAGCTTAATTAATCTCGTAATTAAGTTTAGGATTAGCCGAACCCATCACGTTCCAACGTGGCAACCTGCAGCTCGCAGCCATCAGAGGCCGCGTTGCCGCTGTGCACGAGGACGCTCCCAGCAGCGCTCGGGTCGGTGCTGGCGCTGCCGCCGCCAACGCCACCTTGCTGCTGCGGCAGCACGATGAACATAGGCCGCATGCACTTGGCGCGCTCGTTGTTGAGGGCGCTGTGCCACATGTCGGTCTCGGAGACGGACAGCTTCCCGGAGTGCCGCACCGCGGCGGTGACGCGGGCGAAGTCCGGCGCGAGGTGCTTCACGATGGCGACCAGCACCGCCACCTTCTGCGCCTTCTTGAGGCTGTAGCTCGGCGCGAACGGCACCGGCGCCGGCGCGCCCATCAGCGCCGCCACCGTGTGCAGGTGGGCGAGCAGCTCCGTGGCCCACCAGTCCTTGGACCCCGTCGGCCACCACGGCGGCGGGGGGCCGCTCTTGCTCTGGTGCTGCCGCAGCGGCGGGTTGCACACCGGCATCAGCGCCGAGAGCATCCGCCCCAGGGCGCCGTTCTCGATCTTGTCCAGGGCTGCAGCCAGCGGGATCCCGACGGCCGGCGCCGCCAGGCCAACGGCGCTGGCGCGGCACGTCGGGTGGTAGCCGACGAATTGGAGCGGCAACGGCACGAGCTGGCCTCCTGCTCCTGCTTGCACCAACACCAGGGGCGGACTGACGCCAGTGGCAGCGCTGGCCGCCGGCAGTGCTAAAGCGGCGGCGGCGTTGATTGCGGCTGCGCCCGCCGGCGGCTGCAGGCCGGGTGTGGGCGCGATCACAAAGGGTGCGGCGGCGGGACCATTATTGGCGCTGGCCGTTGCTGGCAGTGACGATAACGTTAACGCCGCTGCTCTGCTCGCCGCGCCCAGCGTGGCTGCAGTACTCCAGAGTGGTGCGCCGCCGTTGACGCCGGCCATGGGGAACGGGAACGCCGGCGTCGCCATATTATTGCTGGCTCCGCGGTGGAGCGGCACCACGCCGGGGACGGCGGTGCCAGTGCCACGCGGCTTCTTGGCTTTCCCGGCCCTTGTAGCACGCTGCTTGCGCTTCTCCTGCTGCTTCACCATTTTCGTGCTGGCGCTGGATGACGCTGAGGCTCTAAGGTTGCTGGATTTGCCGGCCATCACAGAGATAACGTTTCCTCCGTACACACCAGATTGTGCACCCAGAAAACCCCTCGTATGAAAACCAACGATCCAGATATGTTCTGAGGAGGCTTCACCACGATCATGCGGCCACAGACAGTTCCAGGCTTCAACGCAACGCCCCGCCTCCTCGCCCACCCGCGCCGCGACCACACCCACACGCGATCAGCGCGCCGCGATAAAGGAATGATTTGGCATGAGAAAGGAAGGAATTGCCGTGGTTAAGGAAGAAATTGCCGGACCCCGTGGCCCGTGCCCCCCGCACTCCGCCCCCATCGCGCCGCAAGGCCGCGCCGCCGCTGCCGCCGCCACCCCGCCTCGCCTCCTGGTGGCGATCATGACCCGCGTGGGCGCGCCGGACCTGCTATCCGGCGGCGCCTGCCACGCCTGCTCTTCGTGGCGCGCCATGTCGCGGGACCCGGCTGGCGATTGGGTTGCCCTCACCTCCGGTCGGCGCACCGCGAGACTGGGACAATCCACCTCTCGGCGTACCCGTACGCATAGAGCTCGTCGGCATCCTGTAGGTCGCCACCAAGTTGGCTCAGGGCAGATCAAGGCCGTACCACTCCCCGAGTTTGCTGATGAGGACCATCTCTTGTTCCTCGTTGATGTAAAATTTCTTTTCCCTATCCCTTCGATCTTGTCTGGCTGTTTGCCGTGAGGAAATGTCCATTGACCTTTTAATTAGCGCCTTATTGATTCTAGAGGTTAATTAGGTTATGGTACTAGGACTAGGAGGCGTTGTATATTCGCATCAGATCCTTCCGAGAATTTGCTTATTTAAAGATAGTTTCGGTGAATGTGTTTCTTTTTCATTTCTGTAGATAGGTTCCAGATTCCTGTTAGCTTGCATATGGATGCTTTGCAAATTTTCTTATAAGTTTTTGCGATGTTCAATTGTAATGTCCTATCGCAGAGATTATAGTAGAGATAAGAATCTACAAATGATGGTGAGCATACCTGTAGTGCTTTTTATGTTTATTATATTTAGTTGGCACAGTTGTTTCTTCTTGACATTATGCATTTACCTGATGATATGATACTGACATTGAAGAGATGTAATGATTCAAGGAATAATGTTGCTTGCCCCTAGTCCGTAGAAAATAAAGATCTAGATTTTTCTGGGATAAGATTTATGGCCTTTTTCTGGGTAACTCATGGTGAAACTTCTAGCACTGATAGCTTAGGAACAGCCATATTAGTTAATGAACTTGCATTCTGAATTGGCCAGTGAAAAGCAAACACAAATTACAAAAAAAAAAAAGATATCTAAACCAATGATAATGTATGTGAATTTGATAGGCTGTGCCTGTGGCAATTTTTGGTGCAATGTTGAAGCTACTATTGTGCTTTTTTCTGTAGTTTTCAAGGTTTAACTTGTGGTATTGCAGATGAGTTTTCAAGCTACTATTGTTGGATGAACGGCTCCCACGCAGAGCTCCATCTCCAGTAGAGGAGGATGAAGATGACGATGAGGAGGAAGAGTGGGTTGAAGTTGACCCAAGTGAGATGGAGTTGGCTGATGATTCTACTTCAAACATGCAAGAAGCATGGGTTTTTTCGTACCTAACAGTGAATACTTGAAGGATCCCAGCGGTCTTCTTAATTATGTCGGACTGAAAGGGTATACATTTTCATCGGATTAAAATCAAATGTTGTGTGTGTGCAAACATGCAGTTTAATCTTCACGTTGAATTGGTTATCCTACCTGCAGGTGAAGCATCATTTTATCTTCCTCTGTTGCATGCAGTGATAGATGCTTCTTCAGTCTAGAGGCTGTCAGGAAACACATGGATGCAAAGGGGCATTGCAAGTTGCGGTATGGAGATGGTGGAGATGATAAAGATGCTGACCTCGAGGATTTCTATGATTACAGCAGCAGGTTTTGTTAAGCTCAACTCTATGTTACTAAGTTTGTTATTTTTAAACGGTCAATGCTTATTCCTGTTTTTTTTCTTCTAAGCACCATGGAAACATTTCTGAAATAAATGGGTGTTCATTTGGGATTGAGTATTTGGCCATCCCTTAGCACTCTACATAGGGAATCATCATACTGAGACCATATTCATTTGAAGGTCGGATTGCACTGTGAATTGTAGTCATAATAAGCTATACTTCATGGGTTCACAAATCAAGCAGTTCATCAATATTCTTCCATACTCCCTTATTCTATTTCTGGACTTTGTATTTCAGAATTATACCAATGTTGTGACTGTTCTTCATGGGTTCACACATATGGTTTATTTTGGAGGAGGAACTCAATGCTTCTGGGTCTTGAAACATGGAAGCTGAGAGTTTATCAAAGCAAGGTTAATGACCAGAGTTGTAGCAATTATTATATCAGACTTATTGGCTGTCAAGTGATTCGCTTTTATGCCTTAGATCATTGAAAAATTGATTTTATAAAAAATATTTTTTGTTTGCATTTTACTATTTTAATTAATAATCCAACATGGCTCTACTTTTCCTTTTTTATATATTCAACCATAATGAGCTGCAAATAACAATTATCTGGTGCAACTACTACTTCAAAATAAAGAGTCATTTGTGTGTGTTTTCCACTGACTGCTCTTCAAAGTTATTTTTGATAAGGTAGTAAAACTTCTGCATGTTTATTATTGCAATTGCCATAACACTCCTTTGGATTGGTCTGTTTCGTCGCATGCATAACTCTTTTTAGGATCAAATGAGTCTAAGATATATGAAATTTCCATTCAGTATTTTTCTCGTTCTTTGAACCAATTTGCATTGTTAGAAATATTAATTAACATATTATGTTTCGTCTCCTATGACCGGAAGGTCCCGGGTTCGAGTCGCGGTCTCCTTGCATTGCACAGGCGAGGGTAAGACTTGCCACTAACACCCTTTCCCAGACCCCGAACAGAGCGGGAGCTCTCTGCACTGGGTATGCCTTTTTTTTAAATTATGGAGTACTGTTCTATGTCACTTTTCTCATGTTTTGACCCAATTCTCTTTTATGTAACTTAGATTTAAGTTCTCAGAAGTCATTTTAGTTATTATACAAGGTCTTATGATTTTGTTTTGGTAGTAAATAGTGAAAGGGTGCTAACCAATAGCCAAGGAAACAAGCAGGGCATTATATAAGGAGCAGTCCAAGGTACTGCCGTAGCACCAGGAGTCACTATTTTTCTTGTTTGGTTCTAAGTCAAAGAACTCTAGATAAAAATGCAACTCTGCATGAAGATTGGAAACCTCCCTCGGACCTATCAATGACCATGCCAGAGTCAAGATCATCCAAGGGTGCTAAAGTTCCACCTTAAATTGAAGATTTGGTTGTGTTGCTAATAGACAAGACGCAAAAGGTTAGGTGCAGGCCGAGGTTCATCCTCAACAGAAAAATTCAGAACACATCCAAGACATAGATTTTTTTTGTGTAAAAAATTTACTATAGTCTTATGTTTTGAATTTGTAACCCCATATAAATTATATTAGAAATGATACGATGTGGGGGACTCCTAAAAATTTTCATTGTTTTCTTCCAAGAAATTAATTTTGAAAGACACATGCATGTCGCACGTCCACGTCTACTAGAGTTTAGAACTTGTTTTACCGCGTATTTAATTATTAAGTATGCAATGTGATAATGATATATGTGATGGTGATGCGGTGGAGGTTATTTCCACTGCTCAGGTTAGGATTCATGGCAAATTCCAATTATACATGTAGTTGTATTGTAATTAGTGGAGTTGCAGCGCAATTATCCATAAAGGAAAACATTGGAATGTAGTTGAGGGAGTACCAGCTTGTGCTTGTGATATCTTTCGGTGGTTCTAATTTCAACCCGAATGTTGCCGTAGCGTTAGCACGGGCATGCTACTAGTATATATTAATACTTCAATTGGGAAGATAGATACTTGCAAGTGACATGAACATCTCTAAAAGTATATAGTGCAGAATTTGGTGTCTGAATTTCTGCTGAAAATGAGCATGGTAAGACAAAAGGTGAAGAGCATATCTGAAGAGTTTTAGAACCCAAGTAACAAAAATGTAAGCATCTTATTTTTTCGGAACAAAAGGAAAAAGGAACAAATAAGGTGATATTTAGAAATAGATGGTTGCTCATTATCAGTGAGAACAAGAAGGATCATATGCACACTATGAGTTCTCATTGTTCAGAACATACATGAACAATGTTAAAAATTGTCACAATATTCATCAGAATATATATATATATATATATATATATATATATATATATATATATATATATATATACAAGGTCACTTGGTTTGATAAAAAAATAGCATTCATTCCTGGTCCAACAAGTCTCTAAAAAATTGCTAGATTTTCCTCAATTTTAAAACATCCAACGAATACAGGATCGTCATAATAAAATACTTATCATAGTTCAAAAGAACGAGCAGAGGGCATATGACGAGCATGGCTGATAGAAGACCCACTTGTCAGTGAGACAAGGGTGACCCAGATCTAGAATTGCAGGTAACAGGTGTGGACCACATGTCACTTGCAAAGGTAGAAAATATACCATGTAACGACCCAGAAGGCCACGAATCAGTGAGACAAGTGTTCAAAATTCTTAATTCTAATAACATGAGTGACATATTACCTAGGAAACAATATTAGGAGTCTAGGCACTATCTTGGAACTAATAACCTGTACGCTTAGCTTATAAGCTGGCTTATCAGCCAAGCGAACAGGGCATAAAGCAAGGGCATAAATCCATCCTAATTTACATCATACAACAGTAATACCCGAGAAAAACCACTATGGAAGTCTATATCAAATGGTATACATTAAACCAAGGGAGTTATTGAATACATCATCATAAAAGCAATTGCCATAATTTATCATTCATTATTGATAAAACTAGAAAACGATTTAGATGTATTGACTACCAATATATAAGCTCATTTGTCCAATGTGGACATCTAATAAAAAAA